GGATTGTGGAGGGCCTTGAATTCCATATGAAGAAGTTAGAATTTTATGAACAGCAGAACTAGAGAATTCTGGACAGAAGACTGGCAGGCTTTAGAAAGAGCAATTTGATGGCACCTTTGTGAGGGATCTAAAGGAGCATCAGATGTGGTTCTGGTCCAGGTTAGAGCTGGTGCATGCCTGAATTAATGTGGTGGCTACATTAATGAAAGAAGGTTAAGATGACAGCTGAGAGCCTGTACCTCTGGCTCACACTCCAGGATCTTCCTCCTCCATGGATTTGCTTCTTCCATCTTCTCCTTTATCTTTTTTTAAAATATTTTTTTAGTTGTCAATGAATCATTTATTTTATTTATTTTGTATGTGGTGCTGAGGATGGAACCCAGGGCCTCACACAAGCCAGGCAAGCACTCTACCACTGAGCCACAACTCCAGCTCTCTGCTTTACCTTTTGCTCCTTGTTTGGGATAAGGCCTAGTCTAGCCTTGATCTAGATTAGTGTCTAGGGCAAGCCCTGTAGCTTGAGATCAGCAGGTTTCTACCTATCTGAAGTCCTCTTTTTACAGCACAGCTGAAGAGGAAAGAATCCTTCTACAGCTTACTGTCCAATGATCTGTAGCAATTCCCAGCTTGTGAATAACCAAAGAAGAACCCTCCTGCATTAGAGGTTAGAGGACCAATACTATGAACCCTTACCCTATCTTTTCCACCATGTCCCACGATTCTTCTAATAACCAGTCACACTGGGCTAGATATCCTTCATAACATTTGCTTGGCTTTTCCTTAACTCTTGGTGTTTTTAAAGCTGTTCTATCTACCTTTCTTATCTATGCATCATTATATCTTACCTATCTACAAATCCCACTCTCCTTTTCTCTCCAGAATTCTTCAGTTTTTTTGAGAAAGGAAGAGGGGTTGAAGATGAAAGAAAGAAAGCATAAATCCTAGAAGACAAAGAAAGGGTTTAAATCCTGGCTCTGCCACTTACTTTGCTTATTCTCAGTAAGCATATTTCCTAATATAAAGTGAGAAGAATGTGTGTATCTCACAAGATCTCAGAAAACATTAAATGATAAACCCCAAAACTATGAAGCTATATGCAAATGACAGCCACAATAGTAAATAACAACATAACATTTTATTTGTACATTTTTTCCAGTTATTAGAAAAATTATATTTTTCTGTATAACCTAGATCCTGTATCCTATTAGGACATCCTGTCCTTGTATTGTTTTTATTTGTATGTTTTATCTTCCCAACTCAGATAATCACCAGATGAGGTACCTGAGGACCAGAGCCTGATCATTTTGTTTCCAACATACATAATACAAACTTGTTACTCATAAACATTTACTGAATGTGTAAATACACAACTGATGGSAGTGTAAATACACTCAGAGGTTTGTTTACTTTTTGTTTGTTTGTGTGATGCTGGGGATTGAACCCAGGGCCTTGTGCATGCAAGGCAAGCACTCTACCAACTGAGCTATATCCCCAGCTCTGTTTTGTTTTTATTTGTTGTTGTTTTTTGGTTGCCCAGCACTTGAAGCTTCTTTATCTGTGTAAGATTGATTGATTGATTGATTTTTACTGGAGAYTGAACTCAGGGGTGCTCTCCTGCTTTTTTTTACTTTTTTTTTTTTTTTTTGGTATCAGAGATCAAATCTGGGGAACTTAACCACTGAGCCACATTCCCCAGATCCTCTTATTTTTTATTTATTTTGGGACAGGGTCTCACTATAAGTTGCTGAGGTTGGCTTTGAACACAAGCCTCCTGCCTTAGCCTCCTGAGCCACAGGGATTAATTACAAGTGTGCAACACCATGCCTGTCCCCAAAATAATTTTTTTTATTTATTTTTTTTATGGTGCTGGGGATTGTACCCAGGGGCACTTAACCACCGAGTCACATCCCCATCTGTTTTTATATTTTGAGACAGGGTCTTATTAAATTGCTTAGGGCCTTGCTAAGTTGCTAAGGCTGGCCTCAAATTTGTGATCTTTCTGCTTCAACCTCCCAAGGTGCTGGCATTATAGGTATGTGCCCCAACACCAGGCTTTCTGTGTGAGTCTTAATGGGAGACAGGGTCCAACTTCCCACAAGAGAAGCTAATGTTACTCTCCACCCCACCTTATTGCTAAGGCACAGGCAACATGATATAGGAGTGGTCATTTGGACATTCCAACTTAGGACTTTGAATCTTTAACAAATGATGTGAAGGCAAAGGGGACAGAGGAGAACTCATTAAGATGGCAGCAGGCATTGGTGATGGAGGCAGTGATTCCCCCTGTAGTATCCATAACTAGACTAGTCTTGTGGCATGGTTGTGATCCCTGATTCTATTTTCTGAGGTTGATTAGCTGATCTTCCCATCAGCTCTGAGGATTACTTGATAACCTTCCAAAATACTTATTTACTCTTAAGTTTGCAAAGTTGGTTTCTGTTGCTTTTAACTGAGTGTCTTAGCATACTTCTGGGGTAAGGATTTGAGGAGAAACAGAAAATAGGGGACTTTCCGTTTTTTTTTTCTTCTTTATTTGTGAACTGTATCATTACTGCTGTATTATTTTTTCCACTTAGAAATATGCTTTTGCTGGGCACAGTGGCTCATGCCTGTAATCCCAGCGGCTCGGAAGGCTCAGACAGGAGGATCATGAGTTCAAAGCCAGCTTTAGCAACTTAGTGAGGCACTAAGGAAATCAGTGAGAACTTGTCTCTAAATAAAATACAAAATAGGGCTAGGGATGTGGCTCAGTGGTCGAGTTCCTCTGAGTTCAATCTCCCCAGTACCAAAAAAAAAAAAAAAGGAAAGAAAAAGAAATATGCTTTTAAAATAAATAACTAAGGGGGCTGGGGTTGTGGCTCAGAGATAGAGTGCTCGCCTAGCACGTGCAAGGCCCTAGGTTCGATCCTTAGCACCACATAAAAATAAATATACAAAATAAAGGTATTGTGTCCAAATATAACTAAAAAATAAAATATTTTTAAAAATAAATTAATAACAGAACACATTTGGGTAAAGTGAAATGGTAGAAWATAAAATTAAGCTGGGGGGTGGGGGATAGGGTTGTGGCTCAGTGGTAGAGCGCTTGCCTAGCATGTGTGAGGCACTGGGTTTGATCCTTAGTGCCACACTAAAAAATAAATTAATTAAATAAAGGTATTATGTTCATCTMCAACTAAAAAAATATTTAAAAAATAAAAGAAAATTAAGAAATTGAGTTGGGGCCCAATTATGCCAGGGATTGAATGTCATTTGAAGATTTTGAAATTAAGTCAATAAGCATGGGAAATTTTTTTTCAATGACATCAGATCTGTGTTTTTTTGTTGCCATGTGAAAGATGTATTAGAACAGAGAAACTAGAGACAAGGAGAAAACCTAGGATGAGGGTATCAACATTGTCCGGGCAACATATTGAGAAAATTTTGAGAGACAGAGGGAGAGGGAGAGATAAAGAGAAAGAGGGAGGTCCGTGCACCTGTGTGCGCTTGTGCATACGCACATTGAGTTTAATGGAAGCAGAAACTGAGGGTTTGAGAGACAATATGTTTTCCAAGGACAAGGAGCAGGATTGAGCTGATGAAGAAGCTTAAACTGCATTGTAGATCCAACAAAGACCCAGCCAACCTGGCAGAGAACTCTGGAGTGAATACTGCTCATCAAAGTAGTCCTGCAGTTGGCCCAAATGGCTGACCTTTATACCCATGCCTTCCTTGCTCAGTCGCCAGATGAGGGCAGCCCCAGGATGGGCATGATCTTTTTCAGGACTATTTTTTGTAGCTGAGGCAGCTACAAAGCAGCTACACCAAAGCAGCAGGAGGCACCCTACTGGCTATACTCCCTGAGGGTGAACAGCAAGTCTTCATTGGAGGTTGAACCAGGTGGCACACTCCTGTGCCTGGCACAGAGACAGAATTATGATATCTTAAACAAAAGCACTGGGGTGGGGCTGGGGTTGTGGCTTGGCGGTACAGCACTTGCCTAGCATGTACGAGGCCCTGGGTTCAAGTCTCAGTACCACATAAAAATAAATAAGTAAAAATAAAGGTACAACGAAAAAATAAATATTTAAAAGAAAATAGCACTGGGGTGAAAAAGAGGGCATGGATTCTACAGATTCTGTGTTTTGTAGATGGGGATAAAGAAGAGAGAGTAAATAAAGGTTAACACTGAGGTCTCTACATTTATATGATTTGATTACATTACCTACTAACAGTAAACAGCAGAAGAGAGAGAAAGAGAACAAATTTGGGCAGAAAGTTAACAAATTTAATTTTAAATACATTGACTCTGAAATGCCTGTAAAATATTAAGGTAAAGATGATTTTCAAGAATCAGGGCAAATAGGAGGTTTGAAGGTCTATAGCCATTGCTATATTTATCAACAATATATATGCTACATACATTATTTAATACTTACAATGCCTCTATGAGGTAGGAATTATTTTTCTTACAATCTTTCTGTATATTTTATTATACCTTTTATGAATGAAGAAACTGAGACTTGAAGAAGTTAAATGCTTGGGTAAAAAACCTTACGTCTGATGACAAAACACATGCTCCTAAASAAAATATAGCTTTTCCATGAAAACCACACCACAGATAGATGGTATTTGAAGCCACAGATAGATGGCATTTGAGGTCACTCAGGAAGGGTATAGTTTTAAGGTGAACAAGAGAAGTCAAAAAGTGGCATTCTAAGGAAGCCAACGTTGTCCAGAGTGAATTGAGTAAGATGACATCATCAAAGAGATTGAAAAAGAGTGGCCAGAACAGCTTTTATAAATTAGAAGTATGGTATCTTCTAAGTTAAAGTAAAAAAGGAGGTCTCTAATTCATAAAGTTAAATGTTGCAGATCTCATGGAGGATGAGAAGTTGACAATTACAGGCTATTAGTGATCTTACTGCAGTTCATAGAAGAAGCCAGAATACAAAGTGGGTTGAAGAGAGGGAGATGAGGAAGTGGGAGCAAGGGTGTATGGGACACTATTCCAGAAGTTTTATAAAATAGGGGGGAAATTATGTCTTGTACACAAGCAAGAAATTTATTAATATTATTTAATTGATTAATTAATAACTCATTGCTTCCATATTACTTGGATTTTACACTTCCACCATTTTTCTGGTTATTTCCTTCTACTCCTTTCATACCAATGTCCCTTCCCGAATTGGACACACCTGGAGACACTGAATGTTATTTATTTTGGTTGTGGACAACTTGTTTTATTTGGTTGCGTGTTTTGAATACCTCAGGCAATTCTATCTCTATTTGGAGGACAGGCCATAGACTCTCCCTGCCCCAACTCCATCGTCTGTTTTCCACAAAGATAGATAAGCACTCATTTTTCAGACCAATTCAATGATGCAGAAAGTTGTTAGGTTCTTTCCCCGCCCCCCCTTCTCTTCAGCACTTCTAAGGTTCTTAACAAACCAAGTACTTTATCTCCCTAGCCTCTCCATGTCCCTTGGTGGGCAGATCTTGGAGAAGAAAGAAACTGTCACTCCAAACCTTCTGGGATATTGTGTCCCAGTTGTAGAGTCTATCTGACTTCATGTGACTGAAACCTTCTCTTGCCAGTCCTCATCAATCTATTTCTTTCTCAGAGGCAGTTGGAGAGTAATTAACATCGCCGTCCACCTGTGCATAGGAAGATGCCCACAGCCACGCCAGCAATGATGAAACTGCCCACCAGGACACCCAGGACCAGTGAAGTGTAGGAGCGGCCTCTTTGACTCCCTGCAGAATACGCAGAGAATTAGCTTAAGAATGCACCCTGCCCCAGGAGTCCATGGGTTGAGTTAAACCTCAAAGGATTTCTGTCCCAAAGTAAAGGGGCCACCAGTTCACTCAGTGATGTAAACTGTGTGTGCTCTGTCCCCTACCACCAGCCCCAAGGCCCCTTGTTCAAGGTATCCATCCTTCAGTACCATCAGTTTGATGGGAACCTGCCCCCTCCCCAATACAGGACCAGCCCCGTACCCTGGTACCTTTGGAATTGTCTGTGGCGATCTGTTTGTGTTGCCGCACATACTGAACACAGGTATGCTGTAGGAATTCCTGCAGTTCGTATCGAGTGCGATTGTAGGCATTGAGCTGCTGCAGGGTAAAGGTGACCACTCTGGAGGGTTCCCGGGGGGCTGCCACCCACAGGGCTTTCTCTGGCTTAAAACTCACAAAGGAGCTTCCATTCACAGCCACTTCAAAGAAGACTCGGGCCTCTGAATCCTCGGGAGGCAGCTCACAGCCCAGGAAGCAGGTGACAATGAGAGGAACTGCAGAGAGGGACTCAGGRTTAGGGTGCTGTGTAGAGAGGAAGCCAGGTGCTGGGGGCTGTCCACCATGGGGAAGAGGACATAGTAGGGGGCTGTAGGGAGAAAAAGGCTGGGGGGGGGGATTGTGAGGAGATGGGAGGGGTCTGGAGTTAGACTGCTGGAAGCTGTGTAAGGAGGGACCGGGGCTATGAAGAAAAGGGGGACTATTAGAGAAAGAAGTCGGGACTTCGAGGAATGGGAGTGGAAGCTTCCAGAGAAGAAATTGGGGTATTTGAGGGGAAKGGTTTGGAGGTTTGTGGGGGACACGTGAGCAAAGTCATCAGCGTTTGTGAGGATGGGTGGCTGGAGAGTTAAGGAGGAAAGGTTGGGGTTGTGTGAAGGGAAGGATGGGGGGTCTGTGAAGGAAAAAAGAGGACTGGGAGGCAAGGAATGGGGAGTTGTCAGTGAAACTTCCGGGGCCAGGGTGGGTCAGGGACACTGCCTCCCAACAGGGTTCACCCCAAGAGGTCACGCCAGCCAAAAGAGGGTCTGATGAGGCGCCCTCTTAGCTAGAACACGGGTTCCTCTCCAGCCTCCAGCTCCCMCCCAGCAATCTCCCTGGGCTCAGGATGCCACCCAGGACCCAAAGAAGCTCCGCCCACACAAAGGCCACGCCCAGTTGCCCATGCCCACCAGCAAGATCCCCTCCCTAGAATACGGTCCTTCCCTCGAAGCCCCACCCCAATTCCCTCAGGCCCCGCCTCCCCTTCCCGTGGAGGCCGCCCGCCCACCGCTCAGGCCCCGCCCCGGGCGCGTCCCCCTACTTACAGGTCACGCCTTGCTTCCGTTCGTGATGCACCAGTCGCACGAGGCCATGAAAATGGCTCAGGTAGAGCTGCAGGCTGCTTTCCGTGCGTGCCCAGCTCTCGGAATCCTCCAAAGGCTGCAGTTGGAGGATCGTGACGTTGTTGCTCGGGCCTTCCAGCGTGTGTGTCAGCTGTCCACTCAGCGACGCGTTGCCCCGGTACCACACGTGATAGGGGTCGCGGAAGTAGGAGATCTGGAGCATGTGGAGGCTCTGTGGACCTGGGGGCAGCGTCAGCGCGTCAGGGACACTGGCGTTGGAGCTGGCGGCTGGCAGCGGGAGATAATAACTCCCTACTCAAAGGCCGGCTGCCCACCTACTTGACCCTATAAAGTGCCCAGTTTTTGATGCTGACAATAACCCAGCCAGGAAAACAAGACAGGGATTATTATCTTCACTTAACAGATGGGGAATCTGAGGCCTGCAGCTGAGAGACACACCCTTCTTTGGTTTCCTTTCTCTACTCCCTCTCCCCATTTTTTGGTTGGTCATCAAACCCTGACCTAAAATAAAATCCCAATTCCGTCTCCTGTTACCTGTCTCCTATGTCTCTGCCCTAGTTCAGGCCTCTTCAATTCTAATGTGGACTCAGGTAGTAATTTCTTACCTCATCCTCCTGCACTCATTTCTTAGTTTTATTCCTTCTGATTGGACCTCCACCTGACCCAGGGATTAGAGCTAGTCGGTCTCAAAGGCCTCCAGTGAGGGATGGGGATATAACTCAGTTGGTAGAGTGCTTGCCTTGCATGCACAAAGCCCTGGGTTCAATCCCCAGCATGCTCCCCCACACACAGTTCTCCAATGATACATCCCTCCCCCTCATAATAAAAAATAATCATAGTTTAATATCCATTAAGTGATTATTAGGACCTGGATACTGTGCTTTACACATATTATTATCTTATTTGTGACTTCCCCCGAGGAGTTAATGGAGTAGCGACTGTTATTAACCCTAGTGTATATGGAAGGCAGGCTAAGATGGTATAGCAGAACTAAAGTCAGTCTGCTGTGCTGCCTCCCCATAGATACCTGTCCACAGGAACAAGTCCAGTGACCTGGTCCTATGCATTTTCTGGCCTCTTCCCAGAACTTAGATATATCAAACTATTTCTGTTCCTCATGCTTTTGGTTGACATGTAAATACCATGTCAGAGTTGCTCTGCCTCCGTTGTTCTGCCTGGCAAATTTCTCTTGATGTTTCAAGATCTGGCTCAGTTGCCCTCTCATTTTTATCCTCCCAGACACGTGGATCTGTTTCAGGGTCCTAGACCATTTTGTGCTAGCATGTATTTCTAGGATTCCAAGTGGAAGTCTCCAAACACACACTGTCTTCAGTGGACTCCTCCAGGCTATGGAGCCATAACTAGAACCATATGAGTCTGGTTATCTCTGAGAGTCTCCTGCACCCAGAAAGGGGCCTGGCACAGAGTTGATGCCAAGAGAATTTTTGAATGAGTGTGGGTTTGAAATTAGTGTATGTGTTTTGTCTGCATTTGCATTTGAGAAGTTGTGCCCTGTGTCTGCAGGTGTGAATAAATGTCTCTGTGTGAGTAACTTTAGACATGGTTCTTAACTTCTCTGTGGCCCAGTTTCCTTCTCTGTAAAATGCATAGARTATCACCCACTTTGTGGGATACTATGGGGAATCAGTACATGTATTAAGCAGCAGACGTTCATTGAATACTGGTTATTATTTGCTTCTTCTCTGAGGGGGTGATTGAAGCTATAGGGATTGTCGGAGAGGAGGAGCTCCTGTGTAATTATAATACAGGGCCACAACTCCCCTCTTCTGCTGAAATGGGGCCACTTTGAGCAGCCTGATATCTATGAGTTCTCCTATTGATCACAGCTTCTACCACCCACCCCAATCCCACCTTATCAGTTGCACCCAGTCTTCCTCCATCTTCCTTAGTCTTGGTTTCTGCCCCACCTGTCTCAGCCTGTCAGTTCTCCCAGTGTTGTCCCATTCCCTCCATTGCTCTTCTTATCTCTTCCCATCTTCCCTAGACTTTCCCTTATCTCTATCACCCTCAGCTCTCCCTCTGCAGGCTTCACTTCCTTTCTCCCTCCCTCTGATGCTGGTTCCTTCACCCTCTACCAGTCCCGTTCCTATTTTTCCAGTCCTCTGATTTCCCCAAGGCTTTTCCAGTTCCTCCTTCCCAGAGACTTAACTGTACTTCAGTTAAGTCTTTGGGACACAAAACAGTGCCCTGGACTTTGCCTGCTCTAGAGAGATCCAGCCGGCTGCAGACACAGATGCTGTGGGATTAGATCCCCTCTAGTCTTTTCCAGGTACCCAGATAGACTGAGAGTCTCCAGAACCAAGCCAGGCAGGAGACATGCCCCCAACTCACCCTCTGAGGCTTCCTGGCTACAAAAGACCCAGCCAGGCAGCAGTAGTAGCGGCAGCAATGTTGTCAGCATCCTGAAGTTCTTGATCCCCCCCTGGGCTCCCGGCGGGGTCAGGCTGGGGGTTCTGCTGGCTGCAGCCGGGGGGAAGAAGTGAGGCTGTCTGGGAACAGGCAGAGGTTCAGCAGAGGATAGAAAGAGGCCAGGGAATGTCAGGAGGAAGAGSGTGTTAGGCTTTTAAAGTGTTATTCCTACTCTGCCTCATTTCCTACTAGGGGGCCGGCCTGCCTTTGCCCTCCCTCGTCCCCGCCCAGCATTGCGCCCTACTGCCCAGACCTGCCTTTTCCTTAGCCCAGGGCTGCTTCCCAGGGAGCGGAAAAGGGGGAGAAGGGCTTGCTGAGAAGTTCCGCCCGCGCTGAGTCAAGTGGTGGGTGGGGCATCTGCTTTCAACTTACAGCAGACTCCAGGGTGTAGAAATCAGCAGGTTACGGATGGGGAAATTGAGGCCCGGGGAGGATAGGGATTTGCCCAAAGTTTATACATCATGGTGGTGACAGACCCAGGATTAGAATTTAGTTTTCTAGGGTATTCRCCTACACTTCATCAGAATTTTAAGTATGTAGCAATTACACAATCAGGGATCTTGCTGTAAGAAATAGTCACAAATTATGCATAAAAGAGCTCATTGTTTGAGCTGGGCGCGGTGGGCACATACCTGTAATCCCAGCGGCTGGGGAGACTGAGACAGGAGGATGGAGAGTTCAAAGCCAGCCTCAGCAAAAGCGAGGCGCTAAGCAACTCAGTAAGACCCTGTCTCTAAATAAAATACAAAATAGGGCTGGGGATGTGGYTCAGTGGTTGAGTGACCCTGAGTTCCATCCTTAGTACAAAACAAACAAACAAAAACAAACCAAAAAACCAACCAACAAACAAAAAACTCATTGTTTGTAATAGGAAAGCATTATGAACAATCTATGTAAATCTCAGGACAGGGCTGGTTACATAAAGCAATATTTTCAAACCGAGGTCATAAACTATTAGTGTACAATGAAAACAATTTAGCGCGAAATGATTAACAYGTTTTCAAAAAATGAAATAGAACAGAATAAAAATTTCAATGCATCACCCTGAGTAAGCATTATATCATGAAATACTATTGCACAGTATGAGTGTTTTGGTTTTGTGTGTGTATGTTTCTATTATGGGTTTTGGATAGCACTGTGAAATGTAGTCCTTACTCTAGGAAGCAAGTAGAGAAGTTTGAAAGTGACTCCCCAAAATATGATTATTCATACTGTGGAGAGTATGCCCTAGATTGAAAAACCTTTAACCAATCCCCTCTTTATTTTAATCATATTACTTAGCACTACCTGAAATTATATTACTTATTTACACGTTTATTGTATGAATGTCCACCAGGATTATATCCATGAGGATAGAGGCTATCTTGTTCCATACTGTTTCTAGAATTGCAAACATCACATAATAAATATCAGTTAAATGAATGAATGAATGAGATAGTTATGCTGGGCTTGGATCTCCATGAGTAAGTGCAGAACATTAGGTACAATTTAGAACCATTTATATGCCAACCACACACRCAACCACCAAGCAGCCTGTTAACGGGAGTCAATGAATCTGGAAGGATGTATATCTGATACAGCAATGGTTTATCTCCAGGGAGGGGCCTAGGATTAAAAGTACATATAAGTGTGTGTGCGCATATGCAGAGGGGAGTGAGCCATCTTGTGAAAGCCTTTATCACTCTGTTTTGTGAAGGTTTTTATCACTCTATCTGTATTCTTTGAAATGTTTACATTTACATCTAGAATGTTCCTATATATTTATTAATTAATTAAAAATAAAAATTTTGGGCTGGGGATGTGGCTCAAGCGGTAGCGTGTTTGCCTGGCATGCGTGCGGCGCCGGGTTCGGTCCTCAGCACCACATACAAATAAAGATGTTGTGTCTGCCGAAAACTAAAAAAAATTTAAAAAATAAAAATTTAGCAGGGCATGGTGGTGAAGGCTTGTAATCCCAGCAACTCAGGAAGCTGAGGCAGGAGGATTGCAATTTGAGGCCAGTCTCAACAATTTAGTGAGAACCTAAGCAATTTAGTGAGACCCTATCTAAAAAATAAAAATTAAAAGGACCTGGAATGTAGCTCAGTGGTAGAGTGCTTCTGGGTTCAATCTCAGTACAGCAGTAAATAAATAAATAAATAAATAAATAAATAAATAAATAAATAATTTAAACAATAACTTATCGTACATCACTATAGATGAATACTCTGCTGCTGTGGAAGAAGTTGGCAGGTCATTATGAGCTATTGTATTGCTGTGGAAGGATCCATGAGACCTTGATAATAAAAAAGGAAGTGTGGAAAAGTATGGATAGTATAATTCYATCTATTATTTACTTCCATTCATGGAATACATTTATATTACTTATATAATATTTCATATTTCCTCATATTAAAAAACTTTATGTGTCTATTTGTTTATTTGAATATACATAGAGAAATGTCTGGAAGCATACTGGCAATACAGAAGAATCTGAGGAAGAGGATTAGGTCAAATCCTTATGGGAGGATTTTAACTTTTTATTTTATTTACTTCTCCCTAGAGAGAGTTGACGTCATAGTGAGTTCTGGGGCAAACCCTGGCTGTGTATCAGGTTCCCATGCCCTGAACTGAAGATTTGTAAGAGCTTCCATGCTCACTTCTCAGATTTGCAAAGTAACGAGGAAACAGCATCCAAATTTTTTTCTTTTTGTAGCCCACCAAAGTGATCTAGTTGGAAGAAGAACTCTTGGTTCCCAAAACTGGAACTCAAGAGAAATGAAGTGCCTTAAATCATGACCAATTGCACTGTTTCTCTTTTATTAAAAATTATTATGAAATATTGCATATTTGAAGAATTATTTCATACTCAAAGAATKATACTACAAACACATCTATCCTCTCCTACCCAGAAATAAAGAATAAGAAATAATTTGGGGCTGGGGCTGTAGCTTACTGGGTTCGATCCTCAGCACCAATAAAAATAAACAACCTGTCCATTTATAACTACAAAAAAATAAAAAATAAAAAGAAAGAAATTGAAGCTCCCTCTGGAATCTTCCCCAATCAYCTCTCTTCCCCTACCTCAGCACCTGAATTAGTCACTTCAAATGAAAATTTAATATTTCCTAGTATTCTATAAGCATAAACTACATGTGCACATATCCCCACACAATCTATAGTGGTAATTTGCACTTTATTTGAGTGGTATTAAAATGTATATATTCCTATGCAACTTGCTTTTTTTCACTTACCATATTAATAAGATCCATCCACGTGCTGAGCAGTCTATTCATTTTCACTGCTTAAAAATATCCCATTTTAGGGGTTGGGGTTGTGGCTCAGTGGTAGAGTGCTCACCTAGCACATGTGAAGCCCTGTGTTTGATCCTCAGCACCCCATAAATATAAATAAATAAAATATAGATATTGTGTCCAACTACAACTAAAAAATAAATATTAAAAAATATATTCCATTTTAGGAATATGCTACAATTTATTTATCCATTTTCCTGTTGTTAGACATTTAAGTTTTTGCTTTTTACAAACAGTACTGATTTGAACATTTTTGTACAAGATTCCTGTGTGTACGTGGGAGGGTTTTTGCAGGTGCGAGCCTGGGAGTGGACTGCTGAGTCAGGGTGCATGCATCTTCAGTTTTACTACATATTGCCAAATGGTTTTATAAATTGTGCCAATTTGCATTCTCAGCCGTGTATAAGAGTTCCCTCACTTCACATCCTTGCCAACCCTTGGCACAGTCAGATGGTTGGGTGTAAAATGGCACTTCATTTTGGTTTTTGCTTGCATTTCTGTGATGCTAATGAGCTTGTGCATCTTTCAGCTTTGCCTTTTTTTTCTCCCTGGAAGGCTTGAAGAGTGTTTGGGAATGAAGGGTAATAAAGTATGTGATTGGCTCATTTGAAATTGAGTGCTGTGAATCTTTGATCTAAGCAGGTAAGGCTTGGTTCACTCAGGTTAAAGTGGACCCACATCACCCTCCACAGAGGCCTTTCACTCCGAGGTGCAGTCTGTCCTGGGCAGAGGTGGCAGCTGCAATAGCTATCTCCTAGGCATCTTCCTCACACACCAGAGCCCTGAAAATTAAACACTATTTTTTTTAATGGATAACACATATTATGGACCAGGAACAGTGTTCAGCTCTTTACATAAATAAAATCTCACTTTAGCTAGGTGCTATAGAGGATGCCTATAATCCCAGCTGCTTGGGAGGCTGAGGCAGGAGGATTACAAGTCCAAGGCTGGTCTGGGCAATTTAGAGAATATGTCTCAAAATTACAAATTAAAAAAGGAAGGGCTGGTTTTTTGTCATATTTCATATGTTCATGTGTGTATACATGTATATATATGAAAAGAGAGAATATAAAACTATTTTTATTTTGAAATTCAATTCCTTTATTGGCAATTCTATGGTTTTAGAACATAGTATATTTTGCTGGATGAGGTGGCGCACTCCTGTAATCCCAGCATCTCTGGAGGCTGAGGCAGGAGGATCACAGGTTCAAAGCCAGCCTCAGAAGAGTGAGGTGCTAAGCAACTCAGTGAGACCCCGTCTCTAAATAAAATACAAAATAGGGCTGGGGATATGCCTCAATATTTTGATATAAATTGGCAGTGATCTTTTTATTAACCCAAATGGAAATCAAAAATTAAAAAGAGATTATGGCCAGATCACTGTGTCAATCACTATATGGTATTTTCTTTTGTTCTTTTTGTTTTAATTAAAATGAAAATTTTGTGTTTTTTTTTTTTTTTAAAAAGGACTGGAGATGTAGCTGAGTGGTACAGCACCCCTGAGTTCCATCCCTAGTACCGTGAAAAATACAAATAACCAAAAACTCACTTTATCCATATTTCAGTCCTGTAAGGTAGGTTTCATCATTACTATTTTTTTATTATTATTAATAAAAAACTGAGGCTCAGAGAGGTTAAGTGACTTACCTAAGACCCTATAGCAAAAAGTATCATTTGAACCTTTGTTTGTAAGACGCCCAAGTTTGTGAACTTAACCCACTCACAGTATATCAAATTTTTTGATCATTCTCCATCAATACATTTTGAACATGTACCTCCGACTTATTTAAGTGTTTAATGTGTTTATATACATTATAAAACATCCAAATTTATACTCATGTACTAGGCCTGCAATTATTTCCTCTAGGGCAAGCCACGCTCATT